CTCGCAACGTCAGACATGGGCCAGGTAGGACATCTGCGCTGATTGGCTATATCCACGTCTTTGGGCGTCCTACCATTCGCCGAAAAGTCTAGAACTTATTCTAGCGAATCGTCGTCGGAGATCTTGCATTCGAGCGATCGGATTGGCCTAGCTAGACCTTGATCATAATCACCATGATGACCAGCATGTATCGCTAGACAACGACAGATAAATCCGGCACCACTGAATGCCATCCTCCATAGTAATTGTACGACAATTCCCTGTCCGTGTCGCAAGATATATCCACAGAAAACACACTAAATGGACCATAAATACACGAAGTGACTGATAAAATACTCATAAGCATATGGAATACAAAGACCAAGTCAAATAAACGAATGTGATTGGCTGAACAGTAACGATTGTGAATTGCACAACTATGTCTGCTGGAATTTTGTGTCAGCCGTATTTCTCCTGTAACCGCTGTCGCCAGCTTTTGAGTCTCAACTGGTATGCAGCGTCGTAGGATATCGCGAGACACGTACGAAAAGAGATAATAATATTGGCGAAAATTGCTAAGCTGACAAAAGGAAGGCTCTTCCAGCCAATTCATTTAGTTTTTTTTAAACCGGTCGATGTTAACTCTTATAAGTTGACTTTAAAACTGTTTAAGTACCCACCAAAACAATTATACATGCTTAAGTATACATGACATAGTTAGACCTTTTACAACGAAGAGCACTTCTTCCTTCCAAACTATTCATCAGGTTTGTAAACCCTGCAGTATCAGGGATGGTCGAACAAATATTTAAATAATTATACGATGGAAAAAAATTAAAAATATTTTTTTATCTTTTTTTGTGGTATGTGTACTGTACCTTAAACAGCTGCATTGGTCCACTTTCGATTTGTACGAATTGAACCACCTCTATTACGAGGCAAGCTCTCTATTTAGTGACGACCGATACATCAATGTGAGCATGGCGGTGGCTGTGCGCGTTGCAGTGCTGAAGGAACAGAAGCGGCAGCGTCGCGCAGCGTCTAGTAATCCCGTCTGCATCCGAAAAAGATCATGAGGCGCTATCACTTGGTCCACCAAGTGCCCTCTGTCGTAAGGCTTCAGTGGGAGCCATTAATCGATATGGAGCAGTACTTCAACCATATCTGTATAAACAGGTTATCCTGGGAGGTCAGCTGAAGAGCTGTTTGGACAGCCTCGCACAGATTAATTCGTTCCAAAAAAGTTGCCTGTAGAACAAGCAGCTTCTAGACAACATCACGACACGCAGCCTTACACAACTTATTGACACACTACGTGTACATATGTATACATAAGCGGGACCTGAGACCTTTTTATACCACGGCTCCAAACTCGCTTCCTATTGGAGAAGTTAGCACTAATACCCGTTCTGGTATACCTTAGATTCATTAAGTTCAAACTATTCCTGAAATCAACAGAAAAGAGGCAAAAAAACGAACCGAAATAGCTCCATGATAGCATGAGGGAACGGATGTGTATACAGTATGCCGGGTAGGGGTAGTGTGAACTAGCCCATTTCGACGATCTTTCTCAACGGGGGAGAGACGCGAGTACAGCCTCATCGGAGTTGAGTTTTTGTCTAGAGGTAGCTCAAAATGCTTTGCGTTGCTCGGGCTTGGCCCGTTCTAGCGAGTAGACCTGATGTTGCGTCAGCGGAGCCGATACGGCTGTTCTTCTCAGCGATAAATGAACTGACGATAGAGATCGCCTGCCACAGCGCTATTTTGTTGAATGGTACATACTTTAAAGGATACTTGGTTTTATTTGAACACGCATACACATTTGCTGTCCCTCTGGACAGCTTGGTGTTTAGCAGTTGTCCTGCGTGAGTGTAATGCCCTTGGCATGTAGTATTGCGTAGTGTTGCGTGAAGATCCGCATCCCAACACAGAGCGAGGAGGAGCCACCTAGGCACCGTACTAAAGTGACAATCGTGTTTGCCATATTGGGGGGGAGCTCACACTACGCGGTTCTGGTATACCTTAAGTTCGTTAAGTTCGCACTATTCCTGATATCAACAGATGAGAAGCAAAATATACCACCTGCTGGTGTATATTTGGAGGCAGCTGGTATGCTTATCCTGATTATTTTGTATGAAATCTCCGTGATAGCATGCCGGAACGGATGTGTATACAATATGCTGGATCCGGGTAGAGTGAACTAGCTCATTATAATACTAGTATCTGGCGAATCTTCCTGGATTTGGCAATGGATCCTCGATAGTACCAGGATTTGTTAATTCCCCATTGAGAAACAACTCGATCGAGTAAAGTCGCCAAGATGAGTGTAGTACCGGAGGACATACACTAAGCCAAAACATGCGTTTATCGCTAAAAGGTTGCTTCAGGAAGTGAATGGACACACAGAGGTGTACATGGAGCAGGGTGCGTGAGCGTAGCGACTGCGCATTCAATCCTTTGCGTAGGTCCTTGTGCCTCGATTTTTAATATCAATCCTTCGGTTATGTCGTCTCTATGTTGGGTCTGCGTGCTATGGTTAATGACTTTCTTTCTTTCCGACTATTCGCTTAGAGCTAGACTCTTAGCAGTTTAATTTGTGACTGTATTGCCTACGGCAAATTGCTGGTCAACATGAAATCCGCATTTGCTGCCGTCTG